CAAAAGCTGAAAGGAAAATGAAATTCAAATTCTTAGACGCGTCTAAGAATTTGAATGAAACCTGTCGTGTAATTTATTGGGGTTATTGTAACGTCTCCCTTTAATGTAGTTCTTATCGCTCACCCCTTAACCACCTTTATCTAGAGACCAGACGCGTTAAATTTGAGCAACATCCAGCCGACACACTGGGGTTAAAATAGGAAACTAAAATGATACATATGACACACTCATATCCTCTCTCCCACCTCACTTCCTCACTTCGTTAACTTTGCGTATACTTGATGAGGTCCGTCAAAAACGTGTGAATTTCTTTTTTCATTTTTCATTTCAGCTTTTGGAAGTAAAGTCTGATGATCCAGAACCCTGTTAAAGGGGTTATGGTGAAATAACTTATTACATGGAATCTTAACGTGGTCTGTCTTTTATTCAAATATATATATATATATATATATATATATATATATATATATATGTATATGTATTTTTACATATATATATATATATATATATATATATATATATATATGAAGAAATATAGTTTTTAAGGTGTGCTATACTTATGGGATAAACTACTCGATATCAGAGAAAGGGCGTATGTAAATGTAAAAGTGAACATTGAAGTCAAACACAGAGGCAACAGGCTGTTTTCATGCTAGACGCAATCATCAGGTTGCCTGGCGATTGCGTCTAGCATGAAACAGCCTTTCAGAGGGGAATTAACATGAGGTAACTGATAACTGACATCCATTAAAACATGCACGTGAAACTAGAACAGTCTACCCCAGTGAGCGAAACAAAGGGTTCAGTTCGACATTGCAACCACCTGAAGAAGGCCGGAGGGTACAACGGCCGAAACGTTGTAATAAATATGGCAACAAAGATGAGGACAATAGTCCGAATGATGTAAATAGTGTACATAATACCTCATCTCAGAAATATAGACAGATACTGAAAAGCCGAAACGTTGTAATAAATATGGCGACAAAGATGAGGACAATAGTCCGAATAATGTAAATAGTGTACATAATACCTCATCTCAGAAATATACACATCTACTGAAAGGCCGAAACGTAATAAATATGGCAAGAAAGATGAAGACAATAGTCCGAATGATGTAAATAGTGTACAAGTCTTTTCTCATTTCTATTTCCGGTGTAATAAGTGCATTAATGCCGCTACTTCCAATCTGACACAAGAAATGAAAAGGTAAGTAGTACACGTGGCATTTGCCACTAACCGTACCGACTAGGCGATAACAAGTTGTTTTTTTTTCTGAGAAGACCTGGATCAAAACTTTACCTGAACTGCTATACAGGTATACCTCACCCTACGTCGTTAATTGGAGGTCAAGAATTACGTTGAAAAACGACTTAAGTCGAACTAACCAAACCGCAAATAAAGACTCCCCATTGCCTGTTACAGTATTTATGATATGTACATACAGTATTCTGAATAAAATAATTAATTTCCACCTTATCTTCCAGCGATATAACCTTTCTTCAGAGCCATGGGAAAAAATGAATTCTAAATCGCAATTTAAATATAATTGAAAGAACGTCAACGGCAGAGCACAGATGTAAACAAGTCCGAATTCAAAATCGTTGTTGAAGCGGCCAACAACACCCGAGTGCCGCCTGTCGGCACGAATTTGAAATAAGAACATCTGCTGAACATACTTTATTATGCTATTTTTTCTTTTTATGATTTTTATGATATCTATCTATCTATCTATCTATCTATCTATATATATATATATATATATATATATATATATGTGTGTGTGTGTGTGTGTGTGTGTGTGTGTGTGTGTGTGTGTAGTATACATATTATTTTTAAATATATTTAAATATGATTTTATGTGTTTATTGTTATTTTACTGTTTTGACGTTTCTTATATTCTAAAGGCCGACGTAGACTCGGGTAAAACGACCTAAGTCGAGTTTTATTTTTCCATATAATATTTAAGAAAAACCGACGTATCTTCGAAAATGACGTAACTCGAAACGACTCACGCCGTTTGTTTTTACGGCTGTCAATTGATTTTTTGTTATTTGTAATTTAGGTTACAAGAATGCAGAAATCAATGATGGTCGGTTAAATTTCATGTTTAATTTAAAACATTGGTTTTATCTAAAGTATGTTACATTATGCATTGTATATTTTCATTTTTTATGGTCATATTTTACAAGGTATTCGTTTTTTATTCTTGGGTGTGACGATAAACTACAGCCGGCAGCAAAGCCTCTGATCGGGAGATTGGAGGTTTTGAGGAGCGTGGAGCTACTTCTCAATTGCTATCGTTACTAGTTTCACCAAGACCTGGAGTAGTAACAACATTTAGGGTCACAGCTATGGGCAAATAGTAAACCCCTACCCCCACCCAAAAAACATGTATATGCAAAAAGCAGAGTATCATGTACCATGGATTCAATTGCGAAAGCAGAATAACATATATCATACTTTTACTACTTCAAAACTACCAAGTAATAAGTTCTGACCATTTATTTAGTGATTTGTGCTGGTTTCGGAGGATGATTATGGCTATTTTCTCTTCTAGACAGAGTTTTCAATTTTGGGATTTATTATTGCAATCAAATGCCCTTTTCCTCATTTTCAATTATTTTTTTTTGGTGTATTTTCGTTTTGTTTATTAATTTCCCATATACGTTAAAAAAAGGGTTGTGCTCTTCGCGTATTTAATATTTGTAAAGGATGTTCTGTGTGCGTAGTATATTTTCTATGTTATCTGCTGATTTTCTTCTTCGTTATTTGATTTTACAGACGGTCTCGATATATAATCCCATGTATTAAAGGTAAGTAAATTTATATTATATTTGTCAAACGCAATTGAGTTTAAAAAACGTATCTATGAACAAGAAAGAGAGATAAAAATCAGGAATATCTGATATTTTGGCGCTCCTCTGTACAATATATAAAACATTATTTTGGTTTTAAAATCGACAAATCTATTCATCAAATAATCTCGAGGAATTATTGAAGCAGCTATGATATGATTATTCCATTCGGTTATTCAAGTTTTATAACATATCACATTTTCTAGATTTAACCTGCATCTCTCGTATATAGATGAAATAACTGTATAGTCTGTGGGTTCTTCTATATAAAAGGGACGCAGGTTTGAACTCTGCTGTAAGGCATAATTTCTTTATAAAAAGCTCTTGAAAAATCCAGGCGGGTAGACGTTAATTTTTCTGTTAAAAAACACGTGTATGAACTACCGTGTTTCCGGCTTACAAGACGCATATTTTTTCTAAAAAATACCCTGAAAAATACATGTCCGTATTCCAAGACGAATATAGGCCAACACCCAGGCTCAAGTAAGCTTGGAAGGTCACCAAATTGGCTTCACTGAGAGGGACATGGATCTGTATGTTGAGTCATTACACGAAAATGTTAGCTATCTAATTCAGCCTTTTATATGATGTAACCTCAGTACTTAGCTGTTACAAGTATTTCCAAGACTATAAATCTTCCTGGAGCCGAGCCACATGCTTAAACACACTCTGTTTACTAGCAGCGGCGGGAGCCATTCTGCTCTTGACTAGTATGTCATTGTCATAAAAACAAAATTGAACGAGTGACGAGTAAACAGTACGTGGCACCGGTATGTGGGGACACATGGTAAATGTGTTGTTGCATGAGAATGGCCTTTTTTTTCTTAGAATTTTTTTTCCAAGCCGCAGCGTCTTTTAAGGCGTAAAATACGACAATTGATTGATTGATTGATGTTTTAGGGCTTTTTATATATATATATATATATATATATATATATATATATATATATATATATATATATATATATATCATCCTTTATGATTTTTTAAAGCTGAAAAATAATTCTGATTGCAGGATTAATTCACTTTTCACTTTTTTACATGTGAATATTGCTGGAGAAGAACAATGATTATTTTCCGTTAAAAAAAAACTATTTAATCTATAACTATTAAGGAGATGGATCCATACTTTTCCAATAGCATTTACGCATGAGTGAAGGTAAGGAACACACTAGAATTCGAACTCGGCTAACCGACTTCTCATTGCAAGCCGCTATCCATTACACTACTCGCAC